GAAGAGAATCCGACTAAATAGTGAGAATTCAATAAAAAAGAAAAAGTAAAAATAAAAATGGACAGATGGACAGCTTTTGATCGATTTTCTACAGGCCTGTGGCATAATTAAACGTAGAGAGAGAGAGAGAGAGAGAGAGAGAAAGTATAATAAGTGGCCTGTGATAATTAAACCGATCGATATACCGTCCCAGTCGAGATACCAACAGGGATAAAAATCGGACAAACAGCGTGCACACTGCCGGATGTCATGCGACGTTTTAAGGAGCGCACATGTACACCGATCCCGAATCGGCCAAACTCTCTACGCCGTCCATCATCGGTATTTATTAGATAACGAGTAGATAAATAGAGCGATTGGAAATACCAATGGAATATTGATTATCGACACTGTTTTTTTATCCTTCCTTCGATGTTTTTAATAATATCTTTTCGTACATAGTCTTCCTAGTTTTTTAGTTATTTTCAGTTATTTCGATATTTTCCTTCAGCGTGGTCAAGGAAGAGGGAGGAATTCCGCTTAACACGCGGATGACGCGTACGCTCATGAGCTTTCTTCCAAGAGACGAAAAAGAATTTATATGAAAGTTTCGTTTCGATTGCCCTTTATCAAAGAGCACCGTTGTTATTGGGTAACGTGCTCTTCGATTTTAATGGCCCACTTTGAACATCGTCGGGATCGTGTTGCACTCACTGTGCGATTTCAACACAGAAAGGAAGCAATACGTTCTGTTCTTATCTAATAACGATTTCGTGACATTAATCGCGCGAGAATCGTTTCGATAATCGAGAAAGGCGCGGGGAATCGATAGGTATTCCATTGGTATTATATCGGCAAGAGTATCGGTAAGTAGGAGAATTCTACTATGCAGCACGATAACTTCACGTGAACTACGGCCCTCCCTAGGGAGCAAGAGTGTGTAATTTAATTTCAAAAAGCTAAAGGAACGGTTTATAAAACGGTATCAAAACAGAAAGATCTAGGCAAAAGGCGATACCTCGTAAATTCTCTAAAGCTATGGTGTGTATGGCTATTTAAGTGAGACAGAGACAGAGACAGAGAAAGATGAGAAAAAGAGAGAGAAGAAAGAAGGGAAAGACATACACTGGGGCTGATCGAAAGTTTTCCTAAATTTGTGAAAATAAATAATTGTAAAGAAACTGTAACTGCATTCAAATTTCCTCCCAGTGTATGTGAAGACGAAAGAAGTATAATCCATTTGTTATCGATCTTAGGATCCAGTGTACGTGCGCTGTGTAAAACTAATAGAGGATGGAAAAAAGATATAATATATAAATTTAAATATAAATATAAATATATATATATATATAATATACATAGGTATATACAATCAGATATGTAGAATAGAAGAGGTACATAACAAGATCAGGCAACCTGTGTTGAAAAAGAAGATGGAGAAAAAGAAATAAAACAACGTACGTGTGAGAGAGAAGAAAAATGAAAAAAAATATAAGACAAATAGAATATTCGAGCCACAGGGAGATATATATATATATATGTAGAATTCCTTGCAACAAAGTGTTCCACGTATTTTCAAAGTATCAGTTAAATAGTTTTGATATATTAAAACGAGACTTGATGTCGCGCTGAAACATACAAAGTTATGTCGATAATTGTTAATTAAAACAAGGCTACAGAAGAGGATATGCAAAGAGAAAGAGAGAAAAAGAGGGATAGATTACTTGGAATTACATTTCTGATATTATCCCCATATATAATAAATACCTTCAATAAGTCAAAGGTTCTAATGAATCTTACAGGCAAACAGTATATTTAATATTCTTAAAGCAATTAAACCGCCTTTATTTTTGTCGGTAGAACCGACAATTTATATTTGATTGTTATTCTAACGCGAGAATAGCTCTTCTGTACGATTCATTCGAAGCGGAGTATTTTTTTTTTTTTAAATAAAATACGAAATAACTTGCGAGAGTGAGTTAATCGTGCGATTGTTAATGGACGAAACGAGTCAAAAATGTGCAATGCATTTTTTCAGCCCGAGTTTCCGTTCTCAAGAAAAACGACTTGAAAGTCGGTCGCGAGTGAGCGCTTTTAGCGTAGCTTCCAATGGTTCTCAACCTATTGCTTTTAAACTTAATTAATTCGTCTCATTTTTTTAATTAAGTATTAAGATAAATTTTTAATACAAAATCAATAACTTCTTTCAATAACTTCAATATACAAACAAATAAAAATCATTCGTTAAATTTACAAAGATACGTTTGGAGAATTAAAAATTAATTGGAATTAAGGATAGATTTGAAGATATAATGAAAATGATATTATAAACAATTTTAAAGAGAACCATTGAAACGCTCTACGAAGAAGTGCACCACCACCTTTCAAGTTCGATTCTTTTCAAAAAAAAAAAAAAAAAAAAAAAAACAAGCTTCTTAGGAGGAACTTTTTCTACAACTTTCCTCCACATTTTTTCCTCTAAAGAACAATCCCTCACAAAAATCAAGATTCCCCCTCCCATCAATCGAATCAAATGTTAATTTAAATCTTTCGTTTTAAAACGAAATTCCAAAACATTGAAATCTCTATGTTGTATATAAAAGCTTCCATAACCTCAACGATGTCCCTCTATCGTGAGATTCTGATCGCGGCGTCGGGATTCAAGCAGCGAAAGACGGGCAGTCAATGTCCGCCTCGGTCGATAAGAACGTGGAAACGAGATTAACGGCTCTGCACGGGCGGACAAGAGCGGGCTGGCATTAGTTACAGCTTCTTAATTGCCGTCTTGAAGACCGAGCCGCGACCAGGGAAGAGGTGGAGGGCTCTCTCCACTATCCCCTGTGTACGCATCGATTTCCATTCTCTGGCTTCTCCTCGTTTTTCACGCTCCACCTTGTTTCTTCGCGCGTCCATCCGATGAACCGACACGTTCTATCTCTCTAACGTACTCTCTAATTTCTTTCTACCTTTCTACCGTCAAATTTTTGAATGGAGGATACGAGGAGACGAAATTTGTTACAATCTGAAACTTTCAATTGGAATTCGATTCGAAATTATTAATTGTTAAAAATTAAAGATTAGAGCTTTCTTAAAGATTGATATATCGATATGGATATTTTTTAAGTTAAATTGGGTTAGATTTGGTGATAGAGATGGAAAATGTTAAGTAGAAGTTATTTATATTATTTCAAATATAAATTCAGTGATTTATTATACTAAATACCTTAAATCATAAGTTAAAGATCATAGTATTATATACGACTTTCTTTTGATTCTATGCTTTATTTTGTCGTAATAAAAATTTCTTCATTTTTTGAACTCACAAAATATCGATATATGTGTCATTCGATTTCTGAAGAAGTTACGAACGAAACTTTGAAATATTACTTCCATAGGATGCGTCTTACATCGAGAAGTCTCAAATTGTAACAATATGATATGAATTCAAGTCACGAAAGTTTAAAATTTTTCACAGTGGAACATCTTGCGTACGTTGTCATCGAGGAGAAGTTAAAATATATGGGACAGATATGTAAGAAGAAAAAAAAATGCGTTAAACGTGTTAAAAAATATATGTTAAAAAAGCTTCCATTTTTTTCCTTCGTGAAAATCGATTTTTTTATGCGAGATAGTCCCAAAAATATCGAAACCCATGGAATAATTTATGATGCGATTTCATCATCGATTTAATCCGAAAAGATTGGAAATTGACAGATAAGGAAAACGAGAATGAAAATAGAGAACCAGTCCAAAGTTGACTGATTTGTATTACAGGCTGCTACCACGATCGATGGACACTAAATTGATTGTTTAATTGCAATCCTCTGTGAGACAATTTTTTTCTTTTTAAATTTAGAAATTTATTCTTTGAGGTATTCCATTGTCTAAATATAAATTCGCAAAAAATGGAGATGTGTTGTTGCAGAAAAAGGGTGAACCCCTTCGCGCAAATAATGCTCCTTGCATTATGAAAAATAGGGCGCAGGTGGTTTATGACAGCAGTTCTCAACCTATCGTTTCAGTAATCATAAATTAATCATAAATTTTTATTACAAAATAAAATGAAATCCAGGTCAAAACAAAACAAATTTTATTTTGTAACGATAAATAATAATAATCTCCGTAAATGATAATTTTTTTTTATCCAAAATTGTATAAAAACAATACCATCAAAGAAAAATTCTCAGTAATTTGGTTAATAATTTGCGACATCAAGGATGAGAACCACTGATACATCAAATTGCCCAGGGGATTCCCATATAGTTTTCCTATATCGACCGTCGATCACTAAAGGATCGATCTCATTCGAATCTATCGATATAGCGTAGCCTGCAATGCGAATCAGTTTAGATCGATAGATAAAAAAGAAGCAAGCAGATAAATTGAGAAAAGTGGCGATCGTACGGCAGTTGATTTCGTCCGAGCCGTCCGAACATTGTGGTCGACCATCGCAACGTCTCTTATTGTCCAGGCACAATCCGTCGTTGCATCGAAACATTCCAGCTGGGCATTCACTTACTACAAACACGATCCCCAAAAATAGCCAGGTGGTTTTTCATTAGAGCATTTCGTGCAATGGCGCGTATACGGACGAAGAAAAAATGACCTTACCGACAGAGTCTATGTCCACTTTTAATTATCATATGTAGATAACTTTTGTGATTAATATATATTCTAATGTATTTATTCAAGAAAAGTTGAAATTATTAAAAGAGGCATATGAGACTCCGTTACCACTCTTGGCCTTAGGCTTCTTTGCGTGCACGTTGGTCCATTAATTTAAAAAGGAAATGAAAGTACTCACATCTATTTGATATCTCCAATAGATATTCTGAGGTATATACACGATTTCTTAACCCTTTCATTATATAGGACACATTTTATAATGATTAATTTATTAATTTGGAATTTTTTTTTTAATTGAAAATGATATGAAACTCGAAAGAAATTTGACAGAAATTAGAAGACAATTTTATTGTTGAATAATATCGTTTCAATGTTACTTTGAAAATATAATAGAATAAAAATTATCCATTTTAAACCCAAAGTATAGTTCAATACAAAGTGTAGTAATCCATTTCAGAAATGAAACATCTGAGTTTTATAAAAGAAATAATACACTAAAAATCAAAATTTAAACAACGAATGGGTTAAAAAATGACTGGTATACGTTCCAGGAAATGAAAACAAAGAGTATCTATGATGCAATATTCATGATGCTATACATGCATATAATTCGCTCCATGCAGAAACATGCATTTATATCATAATAAACTAATATAGTTACATTCTGCACATAGAAACGTTTATAAAAAAATTCTATTTGTATCAGTACAATAGAGCAAGGTTAACTTTTATAATTATACCAATATATTTTCCAGCAAGGAAATGCGAATTGTTAGTTAATGATCAAATTTGTGTCGTTTTGCATGTAAATGAATAACAAAGGAGTCAGGCGATGGATGCAGATGTCATGAAATGTGCCTCATCTGTTAGTAACTTTAAATAATCTACTTATCGGATCCTAGTTTAAAACTAGTGTCGATCAAATTAAAAAATTGTTCAATTTTGAAACGATAGATTTTTTTTTTTTTTTGTTTTTCGAAAAGTCACACGCAAAGGAAGAAGACCAAGTGGGCCAGGATACTTTTCATCGATGATCAGGACATAATTACCGCATCCAAACTCGTCAGATCCGTCAGCACAGTGGATAACATTGTCGCATCTCTCGACTTCCGCTATGCATTCACCACTGGCACATTTCCATTCGGCAGGTGAGCAGACACCTTGACACAAGTCACAACAGCTCAACAAAAAGCGTTAAAGAAGCTTCGACAAATGAGGTAAATAACGAGGTGACCTTCGGCGCCTTTAAAGTGACCACCAGGATATCATATTTCCTCCTGGTCGTCGCTCAATTCTCGCGAGACTTATCTTTACGACGGTGAAAGGCACCAAAGTGGGGGAAAAAAGAGGAGAAATGAACGGGACACAATTCGTCACTCGAAATTTTGCATCTCCTCGTTTGAAAATTCAATCATATTTTTATTTACGAAAATAATAAAAATTTCAATCCGCGCAATTTTCTTTCCTTTCATCTATCTAATCAAATTTATCCGTTCGATTTTTACGGTTCAATTTTTTCTCGCCCGATAAAAAATAACATATATTTTGGAAAACGCAAGAATGTTCGAGTTCGAGTGATTTGAAACGGAAGCACAAAGGAGGCTTACCACAACCACGCTCGTCACTGCCGTCGAGGCAGTCGAAGATATTGTCGCATTTGCGTCGAAGCAGAATGCATTGTCCGTCGTCGCAACGCATTTCCTTGCTCGGATCGCATTCCCTCGGGCTCTCGGTTGCACCGCCCGGCCACGGCTGGCCTGAACGTACATACACAGACAAGCACATTGCCAGCTACTAGGCGCAAGCCTTTCTACCAATGTGAAAGAAAAAGAGAGAGAGAGAGAGAGAGAGAGAGAGAGAGAAAAACACATACGACGAACAAGGACAACGATGCTGTCGTTAGAACTAATTCAGAATTGAATCTAACTGGCCAGTCAGTCAAGGTCAACTCCCCACGAGCTTTTTTTGCACGCGTAAAGAAAAGAATTTAAACGGTCGAAACGTGTACAAGGATCAAATGAATTTGTTGGCCCTCGTGGCCCTCGAATCATTTTTAACCCGTCCCCGATCTTGAGTTGACATTTGAATTTATCGATGCGAGGAAGATCACTTTTTTTTACCCAGATATATTTTTCGTCTTTGTCATCACAGTATCACGAGGGTTGAAAAGAGTTAAATTAGGTATCGAGCGGTTGAAGGTATTCGTGGGGCACCCCATTCGAGGTCGGAACGGAATATAAAAGTTGGTATGCAATAATTCGTCCGAGTTCCGACTAATTTAAGTTGAACGAAGAGAGATGGATACGGATCGATTTCGCTTCGTCTAAAGTAAAGGAGTAAAAAATTTGTTAATAAATCGATAATGATCGATCAATTTTTTTTTTTTTTTGTGTATCTAGAGAGAATCTAAAAGTGTTTCTTCATCGGAATGTGTCAAATAGTCTTCCATTTAGAGTACAGACTATGATTTCTTATCGATAGTATAATGTTAATTAATACGAAGGAAATAACAACCAATTGAGAGAAAAAATGTTTTTTTCACAGCAATTATTTTAAAATGAGTAATAAGTAACACAATCTACAATGTATTTTTTAGGATTGCAAAATCTCTTCACTTTTCTCGATTCAACTTTTCGATCGACAAAAAAATCACTTAATCAATTTGTCAATTGAAAATTTAAAAGAATAAAGAAATTTTTGATCTTTATTTCGCTTCTCCCAGCGCGACACTTGAGAACCAGTGTTAGTTATATTGATTTTTAGAAAAAAAAAAAAAAAAGGACACGGTTCCAGTAAGTTGGAAAAACTAAAGCCGGAAACGAAGGAGGCTTCTTAGCCAAGTTCTGCTTATATATCAAGCTAATGAATTAATTAGCGGTGAGTAAGCCAGCATCGTCATCCCCGTTGTCAAGTATTAAGCAAACGAGAAAAACGCGTCTACCCAGCCAGGGGTTTCTACTACCCTACGTGGAGAGAAGGAGGGGCCCTCCCTCTCTCTCCCCCCGTGTATTCGTAAACACGTTTCTTTGACGTGCAGTAGGGCAGGAATGAAAGGGGGGAAGGACGAGGAAGAGGCAGGTCGAGTACAATCGAATGGTGGATGGTGTAGAGCAAGCGAAATGTATCGTAAAGCTCATTTGTTGTCGCTTGGTTGGAACGAACTATCCCGCCATTTTGTCGAAATAATGTATAATACAAAATTTCGCGGATATAAGAACGTTTCCTTTGCCGAAATGTGACATTTTTTCGCGAAATATAAATTGTAAATTATTTTCGATTTTATATGGAGAAAAAGAGATCTGAAAGTTTCGTTTCCTCCTCGAAAGAAAATTTTTATCTTGTTTATTTATCGAATCAAATTTCCATATTTCATTCATTTCTCACGAAATCATTCGTGAGAACAGGCGGAACGTTCCTTCCAACATCGTCGTGCGCGTCGTCACATCGCATAACAACAAAACTCGCAAGATCAATGTTAATCATCAAATTGCATTGATTTCGTTCGAATTTTTTTTTTTTTTTTCGTTCCATTCGACTATAGTATCGATTCAATTTTTTACGAAACCATTGATCGAGCAAATTTGTGGATAAAAAAAAAAAAAAAAGAAAAATGCGAATTACATCGCATCACAAAACTCTCAAGATCAATGTTAATGACCAAATTGCACTGACTTCGTTCGAATTTTACACTTTCTTTTTTCGTTTTTTTTCGTTCCATCAACTTCTTCTTTCACATACATAGTATGTATCGATTCAATTTATACCATTGTTTGACCATTGATCCAGCAGATTTGTGAATAAAGAGAGAAAAAAAAAAGGAAAAAAAAATAAATGAAGAGGGTGAAAACTGAGCGTACTGATAGGTGGAGTGGCGTGTGTAATGGTTTCGTTAGCGCAATCTTCGTCGCTCTGATCCGGACAATCCGGTTGGCCGTCGCACCTGTAGATACCCTCGATGCACTTGTTCCCGGTGATACATTTGAACTGGGTAGGTGTGCATTCCCGTTCTGTTTATGGGGGGTCGTTTGTGTCGCAGCAGGAATACACAAGAGCAGAGAATACACATTTATATATATATATATATATATACACAAGTTATGTCGACAATGAAAATGCTGTTTTGTATAAGGGGAAGGAATTCTTTTTTTTTTGTTCTGGGAGGACAGGGATAATCGTTCGATCCGTTCAAGAAAGAAGAAGAAACAATGTTTTTCTGAAATATTGAAATTTTTCCAGCCCTTTTTTTCTTTTAGGGCAAACAACACTTCGATCGATGCTGTAACTCGGGCGACGATATAATATTTATTTATTTTTGATTCCATTAGAATATCATGAATCTCTTTTTTGTGTAAGAATCGTGAAATTGATATTACGTGAGGTATTAAAAGTTTCGTCTCGAGAAAAATTTTAATTTGGGAAAGAGATTTTGTAAGATGAGTATATAATAATTACGTTGAGTAAGGATGGGTTTTTCTCATCAATTTCTCTCATTTTTGTAAAAAAATGATTAAAATTCATCACATCGATATATTTTTTGCAAGAAAAATTAGGTTTCTTTTTTTTTTTTTTTAATTTCTTTCTTCCACGTCGAGAGACACCTTGTCCTCCTCGATAAGGGATAATAGTTGATTAATCAAGAGGGGTATAGGTTGTAGGGTTTCGATTCTGTTATGACATCACGAAAAGCTCGAAGCTCGTCCACGAACAACGAAAGCGTTCGACGAACAACGATACAGAAAGCTATTATATTTGCTTATTGAACAATACGCGAGGAACTCGTAGATCCTCATCGTAGATTCTAGCGTTTCGAACTGGAATTAAGGAAATTTCTATAACTTTCTCGTATAAGACTCGTGAATCTATGTACAATTAATGATCTGGAGAGGCGAGGGTTAAAACTTTGAAGCAACCAATGTACAAATGTAGCCACCATGGGTGAATAAGAGCTTCAACATCCTTTTCTTTCTTCGTTCAACTCGAAATTTCGTTGAAAAGAAAAAAGAAGTTACCGTGAAAAATACTCCATGATAAAAAAAAAAAAAATACAAATTATCGTTTTCTTTCCAAAGTTTTAATTCGAGTCATTCTGTTGCTCTTCTCTTCAACCATTACGAATCGAATACAAAAATGTTAAAGCTTTCTTCACCCAGGTTGACGATCCACTGTAAGTTCAGATTACTTTGCAAGCAGAAGCAGAGGCCATCAGAACACAGGACGATACTTTCCAACGCGTCTCTTACTCAATTCTAATTCTAATAAAATAATTTACTTCGTTTCACATTTCACGTGCCAACTTTTCACCATTCGCCCTCGACGAAGATTAAAATTAAGTTAATCACTTGCTTAAAATGTCAAAATTAAACATTTTTACTCGTAGCTATTATAATCTTGCCCTGTTTCACGTCGTGCAATCATTTCCAATTATCATTATCGTATTATTTCGAACGATGAATTATGGAAGAATATAAGAATCACGTGTCAATTAAAATTACGATTAAATAATTCCCCGGCGTTGTGATGGCCTCACACGATACGTAAGTGTTTATATACCGCAGTGAAGCTCGTCTTCTGCCCGTGGGCAGTCGTCGAATCCGTCGCAAACCGAGCTCTTCAATATGCAAGAGCCGTCGCTGCAGGTGAAGTCCATAGAAGGGCACGGGGCCAAATCTACAGGAGCGCCACCGGCAAAAACAGACACAGCCTGGTATTCATGGTCAACGACCGCCGTCTCGAGCTCCTTTGTCCCTCGTTTTTCGGCCATCACCGAATAGCTGTCGAAGCTCGAGCCGAGGTGGCGATGATGGGTTTTTTTTACACGTGGTTCACGCACGTGTATATGCATGTATACATATATTCGAATGTAGATATACACGTATGTACACAAAGCACGCGAGAGGAACCATCACGTGGGCGTGAGACACACGTGTGGAGAGAGAACACATTTAAAGCGTGGGGAGGGGGGAGGTATATGTCGGTATATATACATTGAAAGCATCTCTGTTACACTGGTGAAAATGATATATATTTTTATTATATGGGGGAGGGAGAACTGCCAGACTGCGATACTGGATCATGACTTCACTTCGTGTTCATCCTATTGTTAGTTCATCCGAGTTTTCAATAACTATTGTCTGTTGCTTTGGTATTGTGCGTGTCTTTTTTCGAACTATTTTTTTTTTTTTTTTTTTTAAGAGATATCGTGTTTCTTGAACTAACGATTAATTTAATTTTATCGCATTCTCGAAAATAAAACGAAAATTCTGATGGAGGACACCACTTGGATCGATATGAAAGTAACAGTTTATATACGTTAATTTGTGCATGGAATTATTTCAAGGTAAATCGTCTCGAGTTTTGACAGATCAAAAAAGGGTTGGAAATGTGAGAAAATTTTTATATAACGTTTATCTAACCTAGTTAATTTATATTTATATTTCTCACTCTTCTGAGAATAGAATAGATTGGAGACTAAAAATAATAAGCTTTTGCACGAGGATCAAAAGTAAAGCTAAAAAAAAAAAAAAATGGAAAAAGAATTTACAATTTTGTTTTTTAACTAGATTTTATAGTTTGACATATATCTCGAGCTTGCTTTAGTTGTATAAAAATCCAAAACCCATTATTCTTCTTTAAAATTAG